ACATAACCTCTACTTCCTCTGCACACAATATTTCATATCTTTTTTATAGTACTTTCTATACATGCTTTGCCTTTGTGCTAGAATTATGTGTCTTATCATATCTCCTTCTTCTTGGTATATGCCCACAACATCCTAGCATGATGCCTGACACACAGTATCTAGAGAACAAAGATCTATAAAATTAAACTGGTAAAATGACCATATTACACACAATTATGAGTATATATTTAGAAATTTGATACCATGCTAATTTTCTAAAGAACTTCCTCATTCATGTATATATCCCTAGCCCAGGCCATTACCATTTCACAAATGAGACTACTGCAACTCCATCTACTTAGCATTGAGGGGTTTCAGAACAAGCCACCCCAGAATGTGCCACTTTGGCATGTGGATTATTTTGAGATGATGGCAACCAAGACCAGGTAAGCTCAGGAAAAGCTTTTATCTCCTCCTTAACTGCCTAAAAGAAATTAGAAAGAGGGCCTATACCAGGAAGAGTGTTATTTTTCATATCTGAGAGACTTACCTACATGGCAAGGCAAACATTTATTTACCAAACATTTGTTCTTCTCCCCTTCCTGTGAATTGTCTTCCTCCCCTTTGAAGCCCCAGCTCCTATCCCTTTCCTTAGGTCAGGATGGTATATAAGCCTCAACTGCCTGGCTGCCTTTGAGTCTCTTATCTTTGTGGGGCTCCTGTATGTACGTAATTAAATTTGGTTTTCCCTTATTAATCTGTCTTTTTCTCAGAGGGAGTCTCAGCCAAGAACCTAGACGGGTAGAGGGCAAATTATTTTTCCTCTCATACAGCATCTTCCTCTTGCAATGAGTATTTTATGAAGAGGAAGTATCTTTCTTAACTGTTGTTTTGATTCCTTTCTCAACACGACAGGCTATCATATCAAAGCAATTTCTTGATCCCATATCTTTAGGCTTTCTACCCAAATCATTCTACTCCTTATCAAAATTTTCACACCCTTGCCTAAGCTCTTCACCATGGTTAAAAGGGTTTTCAATTATGCCCACCTGTACTTCTTATTTACCATTCAATCATGCATGCTGTATTCTCCAAGTGGAACATCATTTACTATTTTCTATGCAAACAAGTTACACTTCTGCATCAAAATTCTCATTCCTCAAAAGTCTCATTCCTCTTCCTAGAGGCCTTCCCAGAGCAGCATTTTCTATTTTGAGTCACTTTAGTTATTACCACTTGCCCTAACAGATTATTTATCACTTGCCTGTCATTTATAATCATATTTATGTCACTTAATCATATATACAGTTTTTAGGTTAAATGTGGGGGATTCTCTTTTAAAATTAAGGACCATTAGCTCACAACAAAATATGCACAAAGAAACTTGATTCAGTGTTGTGGGCTTTGGCATAGCAAATACTACTGGCAGTAAAGTGCAGCTGTAAACAGCATGGACTTTAAAGGCAGACTACCTGGGTTCATAATCTCGCCCTTTGTCCTTATTGTCCTTGGTATCCCTGGACAGTTTACCTAACATCCATGCCTATCAGTTTAATCATTTGGAGTTACTATAAAAACTGCATGAGTTAACATAAATGAAATTCTTTAAAAGACATCTGGAACATAAACTCAATATAATTATCTATTATTATTATTATTATGCTGTTGTCTTAGTCAGCGTAGGTTCCTTTAACAAAACATCATAAACTGGGTGGCTTATCAACAACAGAAATTTATTTCTCACAGTTCTGGAGGCAAGAAGTCCAAGATCATGGTGCCAACATGATCAGGTTCTGGCGAGAGCCCTCTTCCAGGTATTCTCACATGATGGAAAGAGAGCTGGCCAGCTCTCTGGTTTATTCTTATAAAGACACTAATTCCATTCATGAGGGCTTCACCCTCCTGACCCAATTACTTCCCAAAGTCTCCATCTCCAAATACCATCACATTGGGATTGGGATTTCAACATATGAATTTGGGGGAAACAAACATTCAGTCCACAGCAGCTACTGAGACTTCTATCTCAAAAAATCTAATAACTTGCCAAAAGTCACAAGAACAAGTAAACTGTAAAGCCAAAAGAGAAACAGAGGACTCCTAGTCAAGGAGCCACTCACCCATCATGCTAAACTTTATTCAATAATTTTTTTAGGTCTCAGGTCCATTTTATGATAAAGAAAAAGTGGTAAGAAGATAAAAGAAATCAGAAAAAAGAAAATGAGAGACATTTATATACTTGAGGATTAAGAACAGAAGAAAGGAATACTATAATGATCAAGAGATATGTTTATGTAAATGGAGGGGGTCCAGAGAACCGAGTTAAGAATATTGGCCCGGATATAACTATCAAGGTTGATTTTTCATTTAGGATATGAAGATATTGTTACTTGCATTTTTAAAAATCACTTCTCTGTAGCAGTTTAGAAATACTTTTCTGTTCCATTAAAAGCTCATCTTATAAAATATTTTTATTTTTCACATAGAATTTTGATGTTTACACATGGACAAAGGAATAATAAATTTCAGAAATTTAATAAGGAACTTTCTAGAGATGTCAATATATTTACATTTTAAAATCCTTTAAAAGTTTCAACTTATGGATGTTTAGTTTTTGAGCAAACTTTAAATGTATAAAGATCAGATTCAGAACCATCACTATTTGACTGTCCTATGTATTTCCTTAGATAAAACCCAATGGTTACCTAAAATACAAACTCTATCCTAATAAAAATATTACCTTCCTCCCTTCTCCCCCCAAAAAAACCTCTAAATGAAAAATACAGACACATCAGTTTATCAGGGCAGGAAATTATGTTTTGTAAGAATACTATCTTTCAGAGTATTAAACAGTATCTGTCTCCCTGATTAATATACTCTGCTTACAGCTGGTCTCTTTCACAGGTTCCTCTCCTACAGCAGCATCCAATACACAGCTCAGGCCAAAATAAATGTCAATATTACTAACTGAAAGGCTCTGGTACTGGATATTTTATGGTACTATACTACAAAGGTAAATTGTTGAAGCTTTTACATGCTTTTAACTTAAAATGAAGCTAAAAAGATAAACAGTAGAAAATAAATATAGAAAATATATGTCCAAACATATATTCAAGAACACATGCTTTGTATGTAAAACATACTTCTGTAATCTGAATTTTATATCTCTATAGACGTCCATTATAAAACTGACAATATATGGTCTCCAGAAAAAAGGGGGACTCTCAGAAATAAAGACGGATTGCTCTCAGAACTATGAAACAAGGTAACAGAACAAAAGGCTGGCTTAATATCCAAAAGGAAGGCACAGTTGTCAACTGGACTACCAATTCAAATTTCCAAAACCAATTCAAGCTCTAAGAACTTCAGAAGAAGAGGGCAAATGATAGAGAAGACCACCATTTCTGCACCCTGCAACATATACATCCTCACTGATGCTCTGGGTTTAACAATGTGGATTTTTCTCCCCTTCCTTCAAATTCTGGCAATAGATGCTAAGTGTTTTGTACTCTACGTTTTCACACAATTAAAGTGTGAAAGTCTAAGTGCTAAGCCTGCTAAGCACACAGGCTAAGTCTGTTTTAAAAGGCAGAAGCTGGAGGGCAGGAACTGAGGTTCATTCCCTCTCACACCATTACATACATAGCTCATTGACATGTCAGTCTTAAAACTCTGTTACCAGAAGACTATGCCACCAATATTAAACTTTAACTTCTTAAATTTTGGTTTGTATAAAACCAAAAAGTGTTCTGGCCTAAGAGTTCACCTTTAATTCTATATAGTTTGGTAACTACAGTACTGAATTCCTTCTGCTGGCTCCATAAATCTGCTTACGTAAACCCCATTGCTGCTGTACCTCATGGGCTCCCCTGATCCCAACTTAAACCCAGCTTAAAGTCCTTGTCTTTGAGATTGGGAAGTTTTCTCTCTCTACCAGGAATAGGCATAGAACAAATTTATTTGACCAAATGTTTATTCAGTTTCCTTCATCTTCTCTTATTCCCTTTACCCTGATTTATTCTGCAAACATTTACTGATATCTATTATAAGCTGCGAAAAACACTAACACTGGAGATACAAATATATCTTCTCTGCCCTTAGGGGATCACAGTCCAGCAAAGGAGACAAATACAGAAACAAATAATTTCTACAAAGTGTGAGAAATTCTGTGAAAGAACTTTGCAAAATTCTACAAGAATACACATGAAGAAGCGAGGAAAGATTTGACAGTTTAGTTAACATTTGGAATGGGTCTTAAGGGATTGTAGGGTAGGATGGGGGGGCAGGGTGTGTGTGTGTGTGTGTGTGTGTGTGTGTGTTTTAGTTGAGATGCTAGAAATGTAGTCAGAAAAGCTGAAAGGTAAAGTTAATGTCTGACGACAGCCAGTTGAGATGCTAGAAATGTAGTCAGAAAAGCTGAAAGGTAAAGTTAATGTCTGACGACAGCCAGTGTCAACTAAAAATACGTTACAATAAACAACTCAGAGTATCAACTACAGCTCCTTTTCTTTCATTCATGCAAATTAATCTTAACCATGAATTTACGAGTAAGAATTATCTTACAAACAACACACAAACACTTAAGAGATTTTGTGTACAAAATAATTATTACATGGCTGGAAGCTGGAAAAAGCATTTTAAGGACAATCAGGAAGATTCAGTGTAATCACCTGCAGTGAAAAGGAATAGCTTTGTTATATAAAACCAGTACTCAGTGTTGTAGATGCAAAGGAAAGAGTACCAAATTAAATCTCAAGAGACCCAGATTCAAGTCTCAGACAACAGCTGTGCCCTAATCACAAAAAACACCTTTTCCTTAATTCCTAAACTCCCCACCTCACTCAAAGAGTTGTTAAGATCAAATACAATAATGAGTCAAAGTGTTCTGAAAAAACAGAAAATGCTATACAAATAAAATATTACCTTCATTATGGTTATACTCGCTGTATTGGAAGTAACTTTTAAAATCTATATTTCTGACATAATAACTCCATCATACTAAATTTGTAATAAAGAGCTTTTACCCGTTCTACAGATCGTGCTCTCTTCTTTGGCCGAGTAGGCAGCGCATCTTCCTTCGGGTTGGTGTCTATTGCCCAATAGGATCCCTAAAGGTAAAGAAATAAAGTAATTAACAGCATATTACAGCAACTCTATAACATTAAAACGAATTTTATAATCCTCTGCTCTAAAAGCAAACATTTTGCAGATAACAACAATGAAAAAGGAGAAGAAACACTAGTTTTGAACTAAGAAAAGTAAAGTTTATACGAGAAAAAAGGGCCACCTATAAACTACATTATGAAAGAAAAAATCACAATCTGAAGCAGCCAAGTCCAAGAACTTCTGCCACAGTCAAATTAAAAAGAGAAAAGATTGAGGTGGGCCCGGTGGCATAGTGGTTAAGTTCATGCATTCCTCTTCAGTAGCCCAGGGTTCACCAGTTTGGATCCCCGGCACAGACCTACACACTACTCATCAAGCCATGCTGTGGTGGCATCCCACACAGATGAACTACAAGGACTTACAACTACGATGTACAACTACTTACTGAGGTTTTGGGGAAGGAAAGATGAAAATAAAAAGAGGAAGATTAGCAACAGACATTAGCTCAGAGCCAATCTCCCTCACCAAAAAAAGAGAGAGAGAGAGAAAGAAATGACCAACTGAACATTTTTTTTAATATATACTAATTCTTAATTGATCATATATGATAATTACAACAGTCTATGACATTCAAGTCTAATGGAATTTTATGTATAAAGATACTGTAGTTTCTGTACCCTGGGACCTCACCAATCTAAATTCTAAGTGAAACAATTTATAAAGACAAACTGCTTGAACACATTTTATATGATAAGTACAGCCTGGGAAGCAACAGTCTGTACATAAATCTTTTATTGCTTATTCTGTCACAATTAACTTTCATTAATTACAGTCATGTGTCACTTGACAGGGATATGTTGTGAGAAATAGGTGGTTAAGGAGATTTCGTCATTGTGTAAACATCATAGATTGTACTTACACAAACCCAGATGGTACAGCCTACTACACACCTAGGCTGAACAGCACTACCTTATGGGACCACCGTCACATATACAGTCCATCGTTGACCAAAATGTTGTTAAACGTCGTTATGCAGAGCATGACTGTATTTATCCTCTCTTACTTTTTGATACAAGAGAAAACACATTCAAAACACTCATTTGAAAATACACAGTAAGCACCTACTGGGTTCCAAGGCAACTCAGAAATTAAGACACCCTCAAAAAACATTTTGAAAACCTTAGATCATATAGTTTGCACATGTTATACAGATGAGGAGACCAAAGCTCAAAAAGATAAAAGTGGTTTGCTGAACCAAGCATGTGAGAGTCAGGACCAGAATCAAGGTCACAATTCTTAGTTCCTTTTTCCCTCAATTATCTACACAGACACACACACACTCACTCACTCACAAGGCAGGAGGCAGACAGTAAGAAAGAGAAAGAAGGAAGAAAGAGACATATGCCTTTCAGAAACAGAAATACAATGCATGTCCTAGTTTTACAATTAATCCCAGTCATAGTATTAAAGTTTAGTCTTTGTCTCTATTATTTTATTAATCTTTCTAGGCTGCTTTTCAGGCAATACGTGACAATGAGGGGAAATACAGTTCTCACCTATCAATCCTCACACTTTGTGCCCCATATGAATTATCTGTTTATAGTTCCTTAAACATACCACGTTCTTTCAGGCAATCGTGCCTGCCCTATATGCTGATCTCATTGCCTATAATATCCACCCTACCACTGACAAAATCATATTCCACCTTCAAAATTTAGCTCAGATGTTATCTAAAGGAATCCACCTTGGATCCTCTTACCATACTCAAGAATTCAACGTTCTCTCCCTCTGCAAGATCTCTATACTTTTTATACATTTAGACCATTGATTGCACTTAACATTACAATTTTATTTACAGTTCTGTATCCCTTCTAGTTACTTAAGGGTAAGAGCTCATTTCTATATTCACAGTGCCAGGCACGATGTCAGACACAGAGCAAGTACTTAATAAACATTTGCTGGAATGGAAAGAAAAAGTTGTTGAACTGTGCCAAGAATGTCAGAGTACAGGGTATAATGCCAGGCCTTCCCAGATCCTAGTCTAGGCAGGCACCGAACTTAGCACTCATTTCATCACTCAGTCACTGCTGGGACATTCTTCCATGTTATCTTTCCAAGTGGTCACTGCATCTCAGCTGGTGAGCCTACCAGATCTGATGTACACTTGCCAAGAACCATGTAAATGCTACAGAAATTAAGCACTAAAAGTGAAAACAATGATTTCATGAGTATGTTCAGCTAGCAACGTTCAAAATAAATAAGGAAAAAGTTTTACACTCAGTTGTTATAAAAGGTTAAAATAAAGCAGGAAGAAAAATACCAAAACTCATAGGACAACAGTTTAAAAACCACTCTTCATGGAAATGATCAATTCCAGTGTTTAGTTTTGTTTTGTGTGGATGTGTATAAGTGTATTAATCTGGGAACACCATTCACTGTCCAAACTTTAGACTGATTATTAAACACTTTAATAAAATTACAAAAACAAATACAGATCTGTTCCTCCACAGAAAATACGATTGGCTGTGCCTTGTCACAAATAGGTAAAAACAGAGAAAAAAACTGTTCATAAGCCTAACACCATCCATTTGTACTCACAAAACTCTGAAGGCCCAAATGCAAACACTAACAGTTGAAATGATCCACAAAAGAAGTTGTAAAATCTTAAACCTAGTGGCTTTTGTTAACCTATTATCTGAGTTTCATCTGTGAACTCACAGGTTTGGATTAAATGACGTTAAAATTTCCCTTTGCAATCAAAACCACAAGATAGCACCAGCCCGGTGGCGCAGTGGTTAAGTGCGCACGTTTCGCTTCGGCGGCCCGGGGTTCGCCAGTTTGGATCCCAGTGCAGACATGGTACCACTTTGCAAGCCATGCTGTGGTAGGCGTCTCACAGATAAAGTAGAGGAAGATGGGCACGGATGTTAGCTCAGGGCCAGTCTTCCTCAGCAAAAAGAGGAGGATTGACGGCAGATGATAGCTCAGGGCTAATCTTCCTCAAAAAAACAAAACAAAAAACAAAAAAAACCCACAAGATACCACTTCACAGCATTAGGATGTCTATTATCAAAAAATCAAAAAAACAGAAAATAACATGTCTTGACAAGGATGTGGAGAAACTGGAACCCTTGTGCATCACTACTGGGAATGTAAAATAGTGCAACCACTGTCAAGAAGAGTATGGCAGTTCCTCAAAAACTTAAACACAGAATTACCATATGATCCATCAACTTCACTTCTAGGTATATACCAGAAGGAATAGAAAGCAGGCACTTAACAGATATTTGTACACTCGTGTTCACAGCAGCATTACTCACAATAGCAACATGAAAGCAACCCAAATGTCCGTCCATGGATGAACAGATAAATAAAATATGGTATACAATGGAATATTATTGTCTTAAAAAGGAAGTAAATTCTGACATATTTTGCTATAACATGGATTAACCTGAAGACATCATGCTAAGTGAAATAAGTCAGTCACAACAAGACACATACTGTGTGATTCCACTTACGTGAGGTACCTAGAGTAGTCAAAATCAGAGAGAGAGAAAGTAGAGGAGCAGGGGGAAGGTAGGATGGGGAATTATTGTCTAATGGGTGCAGAGGGTCAGTTTGGGAAGACGAAAAAGTTCTGGAGATGGATGGTAGTGATGACTGCACAAGAATGTTAGAAAGTACTTAATGCCACTGAACTATACACTTAAAAAATGGTTAAAATGGTAAATCTTCTTATGTATCTTTTACCACAAACAACGTCCCTTTCAGCTACCTTTAAAAAGCAGTGACCTTTGCTCTCCTTACTAAACAATTATTTCTCACAAAAACTGAACTGCCTAAATATAGGCAATCAACACACATTCCATCCAATTTCTTCCTAGAGTAAGGCCTACTCCTCTAGGTTCATGTGAATCAAGCGGGAAATAAGAGTTTTTTGTTATCTGATTTTATTTTTAAATCAACTTTATTGAAGTATGTTTAAAAAAAATAAAGTGCACCAATTTTAAGTACACAGTTCAAGGAGTTTTGACAAATGTACACAATCATGAAGCTAACACCAAAAGTAAGATACATAACATTTCCATCATCCTAAAAAGCTCCTTTGTGTGGCTCAGCAAGCAATCCTCATTCCTTTGCCCCCACCTCCATCCCACACAACCACCCATCTGCTTCGTATCATTATAGATTAGTGTTGCCGTTTCTGAAATTCCATATACATGGACTCAAACTGTCAAACTACTTTCCAGTCCCACTAGCAATATCCAAGTTCAGCTGTTTCATGTCTCTGCCAATAGTATTTTAAGTCTTTTCAATTATAACCATTCTAGTGGATGTGTAGTTGTACCTCAGTGATTTTCGTGTGCATTTCTCTACTAAATAATGATGGTGGGCATCCCTGCATGCTCTTATTCGCCATCTGTATATCATCTTTTGTGAAGTGTCTATTCATCAGTTTTGCCTATGTTTTATTTGGGTTATAAGACTTTTGGTGAATACGAGAAGATGGATGTTAGTTGAACGCACTTTGGTAATCAATTCACAGTATATATAAGCCAAACCATCATATCACTGTATAAGTTTAAAGTATACAGCATATGTCAATTATTTCTCAATAAAACTGGGGGAAAAAAGACTTTTGGGTACTGGCCCTGTGGTATAGTGGTTAAGTTCTGCACACTCCGCTTCGGCAGCCTGGGTCAGTTCCCATTGCGGACCTATATCACTCGTCAGCAGCAATCCACATACAAAATAGAAGATTGACAAAGATGTTAGCTCAGGGCCAATCTTCCTCAAGCAAAAAGAGGAAGATGGACAAGAGATGTTAGCTCAGGGCCAATCTTCCTCAGCAAAAATAAATAAATAAATAAATAAATAAATACCTTTGGTTATTTGTGTTATAAGAATTTTTCATATTTTTTGAACAAGCAAGTCCTTTGTCAGATACATACACACATATACACATACATAGTGAATATTTTCTCCCAGTCTGTGGTTGTTT